CCATAGATCATTGGCAGGCACTTTCCTGCCTCTAAATCACTGCTCGGGGCCTGTGGTTCCTCCTCAACCCCCTCTACATCCTCCCTGGTGCTCCTCTCCTGGATGAGCCTGTCGATCTCCACCAGCGACTCTGGGGTGAATCTGTGGAAGACGTTGTTGCCTGTGGGAGGGAGCAGGCTTGCCATCTTGGCATCGCGAAGAGATACCACCTCAACGGGGAATCTCTACACCAAGCTCCTGAAAGAGAGGAAAAATATTTTTGAATTATGGCAAATGTCACTATGGACTTCATATATGAAAATCATTTATGAATATGTAATCATACATATGCAGCGCAGTTTTAGGGAAAACTATCAAAATTAAAAGAAAACCTTTCTCTATTGCAAAACTTACTTACATTTTTTTGTTGTGAATATATTGCAAGAGATGCAAAGAATGAGAGCTGCTCTCCCAAAGCAAATTATTCAGAGTCAAGCATCTTTAAGATGTATTTGTAGGCAGCGGCTATTTGCACTAAGTGTAAATAGCGATAGAGGATATTTACACTAAGTAAAATAGCATATTTTCTCAGTGATAGATGCTATTTACGCTATGTGCAAATAGCGATGGATTCTATTTACACTAAGTGACAATAGCATTTTTTAGTGATGCTATTTACACTAAGTGCAAATAGCTATAGATTCTATTTACACTGTTAAAATAGCAGGATTTTCTGCTATTTATACTACTTATTGCAAATAGTGGCAGTTATCTGCACCTCATATTGTAGTACATTATAAAACAGTATGCAATAATAACGTATTGAGTGTAAATTATAATTTTAATTCAATTTATTTTAGTTTTTAGATTATTATTTTAGATTATTTCCTTCATTTTTATTGAAATTAAATGCCTTACCCATGTGATATGAGATTTGAAAAGGGAGAAAAAAAGTTCAGCAAAAGGCGGGTTCGAACCCTGGTCGATCGCATTCAAATGAATATGGCACATGATTTACCATCTACGCCACTAGAACTGATGTATGACCATTTTTTGTAGTGTTGACCACCCCAATCACACTTTGGTGGGTGGTGTTAGTGTACTTGGCGGGCTACTTGCAATTAGTATAGACACTCCATTATTGGTATAGTGTTTTACACAATGTTTCCAAGCAGCTTCACATAAATAAAACAGGAAAATAACAGTGGTAATGTTGTAAAATCAATCAATTTTGATACAAATTCAGTGTAAGCTCTACAGAAGATGAACATGGCATTGTTCAGCTCAATTTAGTTCAATGTTGTTTCAGCACAGTTTAATAACTAAATAAGTGTGAACAGGAGTGTGAAATATGCAAATGATGTCATCAAAAGCAGTTTACATCCACAATGTAGGACAGACTGCATTAATACAAACCACACCTAAATTCACTAGAACCCCAAAGAACCCTGCGTTTACACCAAAGACGATTTAGTGGGTTTCCCTCATTAAAAGGCCAGGGACAGGCCCCTTCACTGACAATGACCTAGTGCGTACATACCTACATGTACATCCTCACTGTTTAACAATATAAATCATATATATGCATAAAACAGTTCACACAAAATATACGAGATTTGCTTTATTTTGGCATGAAGCAATAAATGGCAGAAAATGAATGGTTCAGGAAACAAATTTCTGGACCACTGATTGCACAGAATTCCTCAAATGTATATACGTGTATCTATTTTTGGCTTTTATTCAGAATGGGATCAAGACATTATACAGTTCAGACATGATTAATCCTTAAAAGCCTAATATATGATATAATAGTCAAAAAATCTATAAAAAGGTTGAGTATAATATTTGATACATTTGCCTTTTATGGCAAATATGGTATGATGTAGAGGATATGAGAGTATGGAGCTCATACTCAACAGCTTAATTTTATTCTTAGTTTTATTCAGAGGCCCAAACTGAGCAAAATATGCAATTTGGTGCAGTTGCTGATATTTATATTTATTTATATTCTGACAGCTTGTAAATTAAATAACAGTATAGCAGAATACTAACACATATACAATACATACAAGTTGTAATACTGTATATTATTAAAATTATTAAAGACATTATTATTTTATATTTAGTTACATATTTAGTTACTTCAAAAAAATATATATGTATATATATTTATATATATATATATATAAACATATAAAATTTTTTACTAAAATGCCATTTACTTTGCTAAAAAAGTATAAACTATAAGTCAGATGACAGAGAGCATGTAGTAGATTTTGTAAACCAGATTTTTCAGCAAAGTTGTAATCATGTTGATCATTTAGAGGATATGCGTATATCCAATACGATACATTAGGCTTTATAGTGTTTATATCAGAAAGAAAGGTTACATGTTCATAAGATTATTAAAGACATTATTATTTTATATTTAGTTACATACTTAGTTACTTCAAAAAAATATATATGTATATATATATATATATATATATATATATATATATATATAAACATATAACATTTTTTACTAAAATGCCATTTAC